CTACAGTCTACCAGAAGGGCAAGCAATTTATCATTTTAATGACCAGACACGCATGTCCCTCATTGAAATTTGACGTCGATTCTTCAGCGCACCAATCAAGGGCAGCCTTAAGAATTGTGCTTTCCACGTCCTTCTAGGTTCCTGCTAACCATAAGATTGAATGCAAATTTGCTCCAGTTGTTTTGAAAGGAGGCCTACAGCAATGCATGTCCTCAGGTAATTGTACAGTGTTGTTTGTCAGATCCCTTAGAAGGGCAAGTGGAAGGGAATAAAAGCATACTCAACTAAGAATTCAGGCGAATCAATCCCTTCGGTGGGTATGGTAGACCTGTCTACCAAGGTCGCAGATGTGCCATTCTCGCGGTTTGAAAGTGCGAAACAAAGGCACCAGGGCCTAGTCGGCATATGCTTTTATCAGCTCTTGCCCACGTGTAACGGCAGAAGCATTTACGTCCTCTCGTCCGATATGCTTCTACCGCTTCATCCCTCTCCTAGGCGTTTAGGGTCCCTTCATCATACCACGGACGACCTCACCAAGGAAGGCGCTCTGTTTCCAATGTTTTAGAATTGCCTATCCTTTTTAGTTTACCGCGATCTGTTGATCACAGGAAGGGGAAAATGAGGTAGGTACGGGCGTGGGGCTGTTTTCGTAAGTAGAGTTCACGAACATTATACTAAACCTTCCAACTATCCGAGGTGAGCAAATTTGTGCGAAAATGGTCTTCAAGCATAAGTCCGGCTCAGACATCGGGTGACCCCCTCCCCACTCCTCCAGCGATACCCACTTTGGAACAGACTCGCATTTGTTGCCATGTGGCCAAAAATCTAATCTCGCATCTTAAGAAGTGCGTAGAGATTGCCGATGAAGAAAAGGTCAAATGCTATTGATGGGTGGAGCTTACAAAGTGGGCGGAGTCTGCCACTCAACTTACAAATCGATTCCGAGACAGTGCAGATCGTGAAAAAGCGGAAAACAGTTGACAAAGGGGAGGAAGCACGAAAGCTTCAGTGAGGCATACACAGTGGGCCAACTAAATTAAAAATCGTACATGACCCAGAGACATTACGGAGACCACGAAGAAAGCGACAGAATGGAGCCTGGAGGGTAAATTTGAGAGTTTCCTCCATTACCGCAGATCTGTGCTGTGCGCGCAAAAGCGTGCAGGGCCATTGGTAAATGATAATGCCTAGAATTGAGGAGTTCCAAAAGGATGCACCATATACTTCAACTCCATTCAGTACAGTGACCATAATGCTATCTCATGGTCAGTCACAATTTCGATTTGAAGAAGAGTTGGTGAGCAAGAAAAACAAAAGATGAATGATGTGTTAAAATTAAATTCCACAGATTTCATAACAACAATCGCGAACTAATAGAAAAAAAAACACATTAGAAATCTCTTCGTTAGCTTACCGTGTATTTAGACGCTCTTGAGGCGTCCCGAAATGCCCCATCAAATAAGTGTGAGAATGGGCCATGACCTAAAATACTCCTCCTTTACTAATGATTGCATGAATTCACCTTTCTTGCATCAGTAGAACTTTTCTATCTTTCTTCTCACTTTCTATTCAATAACATCAAGAAAAGGTTGTTGAACTCATGCGCATACCGAGATCGTGGCAGAGAGCCGCTAGTGATACGCAAAGATGATCTTGTCCCGTAATATTTAGTGATGTATCCCGTTTTAAAAGTTCAACAAATTTGAACGCCAGCCAATAGGTGCTGAAAAAGGTATTGAATTTTCCTTCGCTAAGGAAAATTGCTCAAAAAGGCACATAAAATAAAGGAAATTGCACCCACCCTAAACTGTGTACAAATCGACTGTGAGTACTACAAGGATACACTAGGTATGTTACTCCCAGTTGTTTGAGATCTCTGAGGCGTTGAAACTCTCTGGTATCTACTATCCGATCTAGCGGATAAAATAGTGAAATTGGACCGTGGACCATGTCTTGGATCTGGCGTTTCTGAAAGCGTTTCAAATACATATTCAATTTAACACATTGACGACAACGCGGGGGATATATATCCCGCGCATTGCAGGCCATGTCGGACCGTGCGGGATATATATCCCCCGCACCCATTACACTCATTTTTTTCGCGCACGCCTGATTCTTTTAGAAGTTTCTTGTATTTATTCCATGGAAGAGACCTTGACGTAGCTACAAACATAGTGGCCCATAGAATGGTCACGTATGCTTCAATTTAGAGGAGGATTTCTGAACCATACGAAATCTTCAGTTTAATAAATTTTTCGTTTACTTTTTCTTTTTATGAATGTGAAGATTTAAAGTAGTAGAAGTAGATACGGAACCTTAGGGATGACAATATGTGTGTTTTGATTGAAATAATCAACGTAAAATTGCTTTTGAGGTCCATTGCAGCTAGTTCTGAAAAATTTCGCTTTTTCATTGTTATTCCATGTCTTTCAATAGAAATTCCACTACTGTACCCCGGGTAGGTTGTGCTCATTACAATTTACTGATCTGGTTTTGTATTGATCATTATTTATGTATTTATCACTCAAAATCTGCTTGAACGACCTGAGGCGGCGCGCCCGCAAAATCGCCGCGGTCCCACGTGGCCAAAAAGCCAAAACTCGCGTTGTCGTCAATGTGTTAAGGGAGCATTGGACGATCTGCACCATACAAGCACTCACTTCCAAGAGTGGAGGCCACTCCTCTGGACGGTCTTCCCTCATTTTCATACCTAAAAGAAAAAGAAATAATAAATTTTACATGTTTGCTTAATACACGCGTAAGTTCTCGGTAAAAGAAATGCATACAGCGCATATTTCAAAACATGTTATGCATGAGATGGTATGGTCCGCAGAAAGAACCTTCCCATCGAGTATAATCCTTGGAGATGTGTATTCAGTAAAACGATCACAACGATCAAATGAGGCTGAGAAGGAATAGATAAAAGGTGTTAAGCTGTCAGGTACACCAACAGATACTATTCGACCACTCTGGGATGCGCCGCGACGTTGACTTGGCCTCAGAATCGCACGCACAATGAACCACATCTCTTCCCTACTTGATAAACTCTTGCGAAGAAGGTAGACTAGCTGTCTCTTATTTGAGCATAATCACAAGTCTTTACAAAGAGTTTGACGGATAGCTTCTCACTTAATTTCGGGAGTTCTGCGCATCTTCGCCTCACCGTATAACAACTCTTTATTGCAAGAATAAGCAACCAATAGTCAAACCGACAAGGCAAGAAAGAACCAGACGACAGGGCGAAAAGGCGAAAGGAAAGGAAATAGTCCAAGAACGACTTTCTCGGAATCTTGGCATGGAAGTTGACGTTAATGGTTTTGCTGTAGCCTGACCAAGATTTCAGCACTTTTTATTAGGCTTACGTTCTCGGCCTCTTAGCCTTAGAACTTAAAAAGTCGAAAGCAATTGAGAGCGATCCTTCCATGGGTCGAGCAATCCTAAAACTTCGTCACCAAGGCGCAAGATCGACTACCCAAGAAGCAGACTTTGGCGTGGAATTCCAGGAAAGGAAATAGTCTCAACTGAGCAATATATTACTGTTTTCCTATGCAAATAACGTTACCATTCTCGTTACGAGAATTAAGCTTTCCCCGTAGATGATCGATTTTTTGTCATGTTACGTGTCTGAGAAAATTTCAAGAATTGCGATTCAGTCGCGAAAATGAGCAGCCCAAAATGTGATTACCCATTGAAAACTCTTGCTTTGTGGGACCTCTTTCTCTTCAAAAAAGGGGTATCACAAAGAATAACGTATCGACCGACTGGTTCACAACAGAAGGGGCGATTGTTGCGACAGGCGAATGTCGTTGAACTGTTTATTGCCAGAGGCGTTTATGACATTCATCGTGCGTTTTTATATGTACTACCAATGGAATTTGTGATCTCTCAATTAACTATTGTGTTTCTCTTGAGCGAGGTATGATACGGAATACAGAATTATGACTTTTGGCTGAGGAGGAATACAAAATAAAATCTATCGTCAAGGAATAGAAAAATGTCCTTAATGCAGGTGCGGAATAATAACAATTCGATAATGACAATTCTGTAGTGGTACAGAAAGCGATGACAACTTTCGAAAATTAGGAGCTCAAGGCTTCTGTAAAATGACCAGAAAAAAATCAGCCGCAGGATTTCAGCAATGATGATAGCATGACCTTGCTTTGAGAACGTGCTTCTCAAAATGCCGAAAAAAAAACGCCAAAGAATATTTTTGAAAGGGGTGGGTGGTGGTGGTGGTGGTCAAGTGTGTTCAGAGCTATAGCACCAGTTGGCTTAGAAGTAAAAAGAAGGTGTGAGACGCAGATACCTCAACGGGGGCGTGTACCAATACAATCCTAAACCTCTAGCGTCCTTGCAATGCGTTCCGAATGGTGAAATCGGTCCATCATCAAGGTCGCCGGAAATCTCATCATTGAAAGGATTGTTACAATAATCATTCTCGGAATGTTCCATTAGGCCTCCTAATTTCTTGTGGCGTTTTCGAAGAGTTACTGAACCTTAAACTACAGTCTTGCGCAGAATTATGCATTTTTTTGATATTTTACGTTGGTTGAGCAGTATTCTCTCATTTGCCAAAAGCACATGCAATAAACAAATAAACAAATAAATAAATCCAAGTGATAGTGAACCCTTCAAATATATCTTGCTGTTTTACTTGACCGTGACAACAAAACTGCCAAGTCAGTGTCTATCTAGACCTCAACTTTCAGTAAGGTGATCCCCTTGAAGAACGCTTGATTTGACAAAGAAAGTTTAAAAATCACACCGGACGGCTTTTGTGGTAAGAGAAGGGGGAGATTTTCGCAGGCTGCCCTAGAAAATCTTGACTAGCGCATCTAAGGCCCAATTACTTTCCGTAACAAGGCAGAACTCAAATGAAGAAGAAAACGTAATAGTAAAAGCTGTAAGGAAGTTTGTCTAAAACAGCTCACTTTAAAAACGCTCGGGCAGCGCGTGTGTACTTTGCAGATAACAGTTGTAAACAAGGCAGGACATTCAGGGGTTGAACCAATAGACGAGCAATGAAGTGAAAACAGACCTTTTGTGCTAGAATAAAAAAAAAGAATACGACACATTCCGATCGATATCGGCTAAAATAATAAAAGCAAACAACAAACAAAGCAAACAGCAAACAAAAAATCCATGAGCAAAAGTGACCTCGAAAAATTAGCTGAGGGCTTCAAGCGATGGCTAAAACTCGTCATAGTCGAAGCGGGATCGATTTGTGAGCGATGGCAACTGGGTGAGATGGCTGAACGGGGAAGCCTTACCAGAGCACGCTCAGCTGAGAAGCCGATCGATAGACAACCGGGTGGCTGGCTGACCACCCACTGTTTCAGCTGAACCCTGATCGCAGAGACCACACAGCACAAGGACATTGGAGGACCGCCTCTTTGCAGCTTCATTTCTATGAATCTTTTTAGTGTCTTTATTAATTCAGAAACACCAAGACACTACTTAAAACAATAAGTTTCCCTCATTTTTTCATTGGTTGTGGCTACATGAAAGATAATTGGTAAAATGGTAAGCATCGATGGTCTACCTTGGGATGCGCCATGCACTCTACTTCCATTGGAAAGCTCAGGTTTGTTACATACTTTCATAAACTTACGGCGTGCTGACATTAAATTCAGCATGTTGAATGATCCTATATGACGAGGTAGCGTTGGTACGAATGGTTTCCTAAAATGTTTTCGTGTTTTCAGGTTCTGAAAAAGGTGAAGGCACGAAACCTCCGTAATAACTAGAGTTGTTTTGATGTCAGTGAGCTTGTCAATTCTTGCGTAGGGTTACTTGCTTACATCTAATTCTTCGCACCATTGACAAATGTAATGTAGCAATGTCGACTTGACATCTGAATCACTCTTCTGTATGTATGCTAGCGCAGGAACCAGCAGGCCAAGAAAATGTGGTCCGTTTGGAATTCGCCAAGCCCGTGAAGTGGGAAAGGAAGTATGCATACAGGCTTGACAAAACAAGTGGCGACTACAGCTTACAGTTCCGTTGGCAACAAGCTTGCACTATTCCGCTGAAAGAGCGTCCATCTACTTTGCTTTGGGGCTGCTTAACACATTGACGACCGCGCGCGTTTTGGCTTTTTTGGCCGTGTGGGACCGGGCCGATTTTGCGAGTGCGACCGCCGCACCTCGGATCCGTGAATTTTTATTGATAACTTTTTAAAGCACCAGTGGTACAAAAACATCTCAGTAACAGTCAATGCGTAGAAGGTAATAGAGTATATAGTGACGAAGTTCCGATTAAAGAACATGTAATGGTAATGAAAAAGGAAATTTTAGTCATTTTATCTGTAGTGGATGCCAAAAGCTCTTTTGATGTGGTTATACCAAGTGAAACATGTATTTTTCTGTCTCTTTAGATTTGCATTTACTTTCACTACCCTTTTTTATTGACGTGTTCATGAGAATAGCATGAAAACTATTAATGAACCAAGCCGCCGGTTTCGGTGAGCTTGGAAAACTTCTTCTAAACTGGAGCATATTTGAACAAACAATGACCTATGTCGTTCCCCCCCCCCCCCCCCCGTTTTCCCCCAAACCAAAAAATAAATTAATGTTATGTTCTAATCCATAGAAGAGAGACAAACAATTCGGGAAAAAGCTGCGCATGCCCTAGAAAAAGGGATGATAAGGGTGAGACGCGGTAACGCGTCTCAATGTCCAACGAGGTGCGCAAAGTGAGACGCGTTACCGCGTCTCAATGTCGTCAATGTGTTAAAAAGCCTTGGTCGCTGGATGCGGAAGGAAAGTTTAAGAACAAACGGATGGGTTTGCGAGGGACTGTCTCCCGACTGCCAAACGCGTCTCCCTGCAAGCGCTAAACACTTTACAATAATATGTTAGTTCCTTGAGAAGGAGACGTACAAATTAAGGACTACCGTTTATCAAACACAATCCACACTACTTATTAAATCTTAGAGTTTATGGCCTAAC